GAGCAGCAAGCAGGGGCTGCTTGTGGGAGGTCTTGCCGTGCCCCTCCTGAGCTGTAGCATTTGTCCCAGAAGTGGATATTCTCCTTATTCCTGTGCTTATGTTCCCCCTCAGCCATATCTCCTCAGTTGCCGGCTCCCCTCACTCTCACCAGGCCATGCAGCCGCCCTGCCATGTTCCACACACTTGCTCCAGCTCTGGGCTCTGCCCCACAGACTCAGTGGTTTGGGGCTGATCCTGTTTTTTGTGGTTGGTGACGCTGCTCCTGTTTCCTCTGCGAAGCTTGTCTCTGAGCCAGACCCCGCAAGGCTGCTGGTCTTGCACATCCTTCCTGCCCGTGTTGGGCCCGGCTCTGTCAGCCTCAGCTGATGTGGGAAGGGATGAGGGTGGGCAACACCCTTCACCCACCACCTTCCTTTCCCGGCTGTCGTGGGTTTACCCTCTGCCCCAGGCTGAAAGGGTGATGCCGCTGCAGGCAGCTGGGTGTTGCAAGCTCGAGATGAGGGTAGAGCCTGGGGACATGCTCTACCGGTTGTGGGGGAAATGGAAGGGCTCTGATGCCAATGGCCAGATGCTGGCAAGCACAGTAACGCCTGTCCACGGGGGGGGGTCTGACACCAGCCTCTGGGCCTGGCCTCCTGAGACAAGCTCTGCCCTGCAGCCCAGGCGTGGGCTGAGCTGTGCTGCACAAAAATGCTGCTGCTGCAGCAGCTGTATCTGGCCCCGGCCCAACAAGTGGCTTCATTCTGGGTGCAACGGCCTCAGTTTGCAGTGCCTCAGTGGGTCATGCTCTCCAGTCTAACGTGAGGCTGCTATGGGGGCTTGTTCTTAACACGCTGAGAACTGGAGTCAAAGGGTCATGTAGGTCCCTTACCCCTGGCAAACTCGTCGGCTGCCTGGGGGTGAAGCCAGGCTGGAGGCGAGACCTGGGGGCGCTTGAAAACTAGTGGTGACTGTGGGGAAAGAAAAGCCTAAGCTGCTTTAACCGCCTGGCAAGAGCAAGAGGTTCAACATAGGCTGTGTGCTGCTTGCCCTCCCCAGCAGGTCCTCTCCAGCCCACTGGGATGCGGCCCTCGTGCTGACAGCCCCCTGCTCTGCTCCTACCTCTCTGTGCCACACTGCGGGTGCTACCTGGCTGCAGCCCCAGGCTCCCTCCCTGGCCCTGAACGCTTCCCTGCATCCTTCCAAAAGCTTGAGTTTCTGTGCTCGGCTTGCTGTCTCCCTGCATCCACCTCCACCTGTTGCTCCTGGCCTGGGATGGAGGCTGTGCCCGGGGGTTGCTCCCAGAGCATCTGCTGCTGGATCTGCAACATGCATTTCCTCTTCCAGAAATGTTAATGCCACAGTTGCGTGCGTGGGGGCGTGATTCAACGGAAAGTGCTTCTTCATGGCCAGGTCAAATCCCCTTCCTTCTGCTGCAGCTCTCCCTCCATATGGCTGAAGCTGTCACCTGGGAAGGACCCACCCATGAGCAGGGGGGAAGGAAGGATTGAGCAAGAGAGCTCGAAGCAGGGCCCTTTCCCCCTTCCTCTTGTGCACACACCTGCGCCCATGTCAGGGTGCAGCATGCTGCTCTGGGGGGCTCCAGTTGCCCTCCGGCGGGAGAGCACCGAGCCTGTGCCCGGGCTGTGCAGGTGCTGGGGCAGCGCCGTGGTGGCTCTTGCTGACTTAGGGAAGCAGCAGGGGAAGCGGCAGGGCTGCTGTTACTCAGTGGGCTCAGAATAACCAAAAACCCACACCGGATGCAGTGACCATGCTTCCCACCCCGCTCCTTGCCCCAGCCGCCTGGCCTCAGCCCTCCTGCAGCCAGCCCCCGGCGCTGCCCGCAGGAGATAAGCAGGGGTGCTGCACCCACCAGTGCCTGCTCGTGGAAACCCTTCTGCAGGAGGGAGCACGTGTTTCAGTGGGGAGAAGCAGCATTCACGAGCTTACACAGATACCAGCTTCCCCCCAGCTATTTGGGTTGCACAAGGCAGCCCGGCATCCCTCCCCGTCCCCACGCAAGGGCACGAGGACAGGGTGCTCTGCCCAGGACGTCATGGGTGTGGTTGGCCCAGCTCAGGGACTAAAACCCCCAGAACCAATTTTGGTAGCACAGAAAGTGAGTGGCCGGGGTGCTCTTGCAGAGGGACAGCCCGTGGCTCCAGGGCGGTAACTCAAAGCCAGTGCTGCCATTGCTCTGGCCTTGGGAGAGCAGTGCTATTGCCCAGGATGAGCAGAGGTGGCTCTCTAAGGGCACATCTGGAGGTGCTGCGTGCTCAGCCCTGGTCCTGCTGCAGGGACCTGGCCTGGGGCACGAGAAGCAGCACAGGCTTCAAAGGATTTGAAGTGCATTCCCACCACGCAGGCACATTTTGCTCCACATTCCCATCATATCTGGGACCACCTGTCCTGCGGTGCCACCGGGTCCCTCCTTTCTTCCATCCTCTCTCTTTCTCTTCACTGGGAGAGGAAGAATTTGGCGTTATGGGGGACAGGAGGTTATTGTGCAGCCGAGTCTGGTGGCCAGAGCGCTGGCTCCCACCTCTCCCTCTGCGGCCAGGCTCACCAGCGCTCCTTCGGAAGGCGTTGCCCATCCCCGAACACCCCGCGGGCTGAGCCAGGGCCCCCGAGGCTGCTGCCGCACCCACCGTTTGGAGCG